GGGTCAATTGAAAGTTTGATGCAATGGTGGCTAGTCTGGAAATTCAGGAAGAAGGAAAGGCAGGTATGGAGAGCTGTCCCTATAGCAGTGATTTGGTCTGTGTGGAAATATAGAAATGAGTGCATGGAGAGCTGTCCCTATAGCAGTGATTTGGTCTGTGTGGAAATATAGAAATGAGTGCATTTTTACTGATACTCAACCAAATCTAGAAGAATTATGTGACCTAATCAAAGTAAGAGTTGGCCCTTTGGATGAAATCACATGATCTAGGTTGCTTCTATTCTGTAAATGAAATTGCGCCAAGCATTCAGCAGGTGAGGAAGTGCATCTGAGAGCTATGCTGCAGCGGAGGAACAGAGGAGATTCAGAGGTGGTTGCTGCTGTGTCTTTATATGCTGCAGTGGTGGCTGCTGGTTTTGATGACTGCTAGCTGTTGTATTGTAGTGTTGAGAACTGTGATTGCTCGTCTTATTCTTTTCCTTTTCTATTGGTTCTCACCAACATTTTTTGCTTGAGCTAGCATATGATTGGATGTTCTTCTTGGTACTAACCCAGTTGGGATTAGGAAGTTATACTATGATGCTTTCTGCTCTTACCTCTACTTTGTTGATATAATTTTATATGTACTGCATGTTTGATTTCATCAATAATTTTTTTTTTTTATTAAAAAAAATGAATAAAGCTAACCTCAAAGAGATGACGAAAATAAAGCAATTTAGAGTTGGGTTACAACACAAACACCAAATACAGGGGCAACTCAAAGGTTCAACTTCAAAATTAGGTATCGTTTCTGAAAGAAAAGCTCCATATTTGAAAGCATTCTAGGACCTCAATGGTAATTTGCTTAGAAGCATATGTATTAGATGATGCAGAATGTAGAAGTCCAATATTCAGCTAGCGCTCAGCAACTTTCCACCACATGAAGATCTATTTTACAATTTCATAATTAATGTCCATAAGTATTTAATTATTAGTTTTCCTATTTTATTAAGGTCTCCAACCACACTCTCTACTTTTCACTAGTTAAAGTATAAAAAAAGTACACTCTTTATTTTACGTAATTACTTTAGCTATTGTGTTCTCCAACCACGCTTTTTATTTTAGCTAATCATTTAAAATAACTTAATTAATTTTTAAAATAAGTTAAAGTATAAAAAAAGTACACTCTTTATTTTACCTAATTACTTTAGCTATTGTGTTCTCCAACCACGCTTTTTATTTTAGCTAATCATTTAAAATAACTTAATTAATTTTTAAAATAAAAAATACTAATTTTTTATATTTTACTAATATAAATTTGCAATAATAATAAATTTGCCCATACAAACATACAAAACCTGTAGAATAAGGAGAAAAAAAATAAAAATACAAAATAAGTTATTCCGTAATTCATCTAACACAATTGAAAAAACATATAAAATTATTACATATACACACACACACATATATATATATAATATAATATATAAAATCCCAAATCTAAGACATAAATATACAAAAATCTAAAATTTATACATACATAAATGTTTGGAGAGCCTCTAGGACTCTTCAATTGTAGCCACCAAAAAAATAGAATGGTAAAGTAGCTAGCCTAATAGCTAGCCCATTGGAGCTCAAAATTATACTTACATTGGCTAAAATACCTAACAAGTATTGTTTAACTATCACCTTGGAGATGCTCAGTTTCCTATTTTATTAGAGTTGTAAACCTATAAATAAGATGCTTTGGCATTGTATTCGACAAAGTTATGGCCTTGTGTAACTAAGGTGTCCTTGTGTTCTTCTATCATTAGACCTATGAGGATATTGAAGAATCAATATGGATATACATCACTGACACACTAAAACCTTTTTAAACTATTTTAATGTTGATTCTAGGTGAAAATTTTAATAGCCTCCCCATTTTTCAATTTTTTTTTTATTTTTTATTTTTAGAGGAAGCCTCATACCTAAAACCTCTAGAAGCAGTTTTCCACTTTCTATGAAACTCAAACAGCATAGCCAAACGCCAAACGACCATCTTCCTTTCTTCATCTTAGTTAGATCACCAATTATCCCAAAAAGATTAAGCCATTAGTAAATGAATCCAACAATGCATATCAAGCTATCGTGACCCTAACTTGTAAGTGGAGAGACACACGGATAAATCACAAATAGAATCCAACAGTTGCACAAACATAACAAGGGAAAACAAAAGAATAACCTAGGGCCCCCTAAAATCAGTGTTTGGTTAAGAGATTTGAAGAAAGATTTGGAAAGGGAAAGGGAAAAGGTAAGTGAAATGTGAATAAAATATGCCTATATTTCACCTAATTTCGCACATCTTTTCCCTTTCCCTTTCCAAATCCCTCCCCAAATCCCCCAACCAAACACAGCGTTATTGTTTCGAAAGCTTATGCTATTATTAGTAAATCTGTCAAACAAACCAAGTACTTGAAAATCTTATGCTTTGTTATTGCTTTTTTATATATATATATATACATTTGGTAATTTCAATCTAACATAATATTCATTTCTGTCAGTGTTTTTTTTTGTTGGCACAATGTTTTCAATGCCAGACTTGACTGCCTCCGTTTCGACCACTTCAACCATCAAGCATTTGGTCTTCTAGTCTTGATTACAAATATATCATATCTTAAACAAAGTTATTCCAGAAAATTCTCCACAATTTGGCAACAAAATCACAGAATAGTCTCAAGAATCTAGTTAGGGAATTCACAACCAAAAGCTCCAAGAATTCAATTGTACACAAATTGTATGAAGATATGCTACAACCTAATTGCAAAATAGAATGCATTTACTTTCTAAGTGACAGCCTTATCATGGTAACATTGAATCTCAAAAAGTACGAAAATAAACCTGAAGTGGTCTCCTTGCTGCCAGGACAACAAAATTGTCTGGAAAAGTGAGTCGCCAACAGTGATGACTTCAGGAATTTTTGTCAGTGGTGTCAATCAAAAACTTAAATGTCATATATTTTACGGAAAATTCACATTAATCATTATGTCACCTATGGAGAAAAAAATCAACAAATTAATTTAAATTCTAAAATTATAAACAAAAATATTTCAATATAGTGATACTATTGTTTAAACAAAAAGACATGCTAATACACGAGGTTCTACAATTAACCACGACGAGATTTCATATTTTGAAATCGTTGCATAATAAGCTCATTATCAACACTATCAAATACATCTTTCTCAATGTATGACTGAAAACTATGGATTCAAAGTCGTATTTTAGTGGGTTCAATTGCTTATTTTTTTCCTAAAATCTAATACTTATATAATAAAAAATAAAAAATTCATCCAGGGAGTTCGGGTGACACCCCTGGCCATGTGTTGGAGCCGCTCCTGGTCGCCAAGCACTTAAGGCTGTTGGATCTCCATTGAGATCTTGTGGATCAAACCTACGCAACAACCTTCACCAGTGTGGATGACCAAGTAGCAGCCCAACCCACTGAGATCTTGTGATTAAACCTATGCAACAACATACCAAATAAAGCAAACAAAAGCCCCTCCTCAGAGAAATCCTTTAATGCTCTGAAACTTGGAAAATAAAATCACTCACTTATTGGATTTAACCCAGTCAGTTACATTCGAAATAATTCTTTCCTAGTTTAAACCCCAATCCGGATTCCCTTTATCGAATAACTTCTCATTCCTAGTTTTCCACAGTTCCCATAAAATTGCCGACGGTAATACATTCCAGATTTTTTTTTTTTTCTCTCTTTTTCAAACTAAAGTCCTGCCACCATGACAATAGGTCTTTGATTTGTTGCCTTTCTTGTAGCTTTGGTAATTCAAATCTAATCATATTGTTCCTTTCTAGCAGTGTTTTTTATTGCTCTTTGTTGCTTACAACATTTTCAATACCAGACCAGACTACATCTGGTTCGACCACTTCGACCGTCAACCCAAACATATAATCCCAATTATATGTTTGTTTTGTGTTATTAGTTATAGGATTAAAAAAATTGCCAATTTTGTTGAATAAAATCTCCATCGAAATTTAACTTAGATAACAAAAAGTGTAACCAAACAATAGAATGTGAGTCTTATGAATTAATAATTCCGATTTTATACTATAATCCAACCAATCAACTAGGCCCTTAGAGATGAGCTTTTAGATGAATATCTGGGCTAAGAATGGGATTAGGATTCAAGGGTCATTGGGTAAATTGGTTGACCAGAAAATTAGGTTGAAAAGCATACATGGAAACTTTCTTATGCAAAAGAAAAAGGGAAAAAAAGAAGAAAAGAAACATATTGAAAAACTCAAAACATTTGCTGCAATAGAAGATATATATATATATATATATATATAGATTAGTAAACATATTAGATTAAGCCATATATTTTAACTCAAGGCAACATTGAATTGTTTCTAATTCATAACTGCTTGTGCTTAGCTAAACTTGTTATTTTTACAACAGCAGTAACAAAATAAGAACATATAAGAACATAAATGAGCTGCCAAATGACCTTATATTTTATTGACTAGAAAGTGCTTTATATACATGAGAAATATAACAGAAATGCATAACAAATTGCAAAGAAATAGCATCACACAAGCCCATGAATACATGAGCTTCTCTTCTAGTTTCCTATTTTCTAGTAACAACTACTTTGAAGCTTTCAAACATTTTGACTTATTCAAAAATACTCCAGCAACTTTATTTAAGCAATCTTTGAATATCTTAGCAGCCTACTATCAGCAGTTGAGTCATCTTCTCAACACTCCTCCTTGGATCAGCTGCTGCTCATTCCCAATTTTTCTCTTAGGAATTCAAACCTGGCTTTAGAAATTGCTTTTGTTAAAATATCAGCAACCTGATTTTCTGTTTTGCAATGGAGCAATAGTACTTCTCCTTCTTTCTATACTTTCCTGAGTAAGTAAAGTTTAATCTTAAATTGCTTTGTTTTCCCATGGAAAATTGGATTGTTAGATATAGATATAGCAGCTTGGTTATCAACAAAGATTTGTGTGGACTCCTCCTATTCCATATGCAGATCTGTTAACAATTTCCTAAACCACAGAGCTTGGTTTACGGCTGTTGTAACAGCCGCATATTCAACTTCAGCAGTGCTTTGTGCAATAATCTCTTGTTTCTTTGAACACCAGGAGAACATGCCTGATCCAAAACTAAAGCAAAAACCAGTTGCACTTCTCATATCATCAATAGAACCTCCCTAATCACTGTCAGAGAAGCCATGGAACTTCAAATCTAAACAATGAGTGAACTTTATGCCATAATTGACAGTGCCTTTGATATACCTCAGAATCCTTTTTGAAGCTTGAAAATGCACCTCACTTGCACAATGCATAAACCTCGAAAGCAAACTCACAGCATGCATTATATCAGGTCGGGTTGCAGTAAGATACATTAAGCAACCAATCAAACTCCTATGCAAACCTTCATCAACCTTATCAACTCCGTCATCCTTGCTAAATTTCTCTTTCTGATTCATAGGAGTTGATATAGCTTTGCAATCTTCCATGTGAAACTTTTTTAGGATCTCCTTTGCATACTTTTGTTGGCAAATAAAGACTTCATGCTGCCTTTGCTTTACTTCCATTCCCAGAAAGTAAGACATCAAGCCCAAATCTAGCATCTCAAACACATTAAGCAACTCTACTTTAAATTCCTTTAGAAGCTCTTTATTGGTCCCTGTTATAAGAAAGTCATCAACATAAACAGACACAACAATTAATTCAGTAGCCTCCTTCATGTACAGAGTAAATTCACTTAGGCTTTTTACAAAGCCTAGGCCTAATAAGTGATTATATATCCTGCTGTACCAAGCCCTTGGTGCCTGTTTAAGACCATACAATGCCTTTTTCAATAAATACACTCTATCCTCATGCCCCTACATAGCAAATCCCTCTAGCTGCTCTACATATATTTCCTCCTGCAAAAAAACCATTCAAAAAAAGCTGATTTAACATCTAGCTGATAGACCATCCAGCCTTTTTATGCTGCAAGTGCTAGTAGTAACCTAATTGTATCTAACCTTGCCACAGGTGAAAATGTCTTAGAGAAATCTACGACAACATCGTAGATTTGAGCATAACCCTTCGCCACTAGCCTTGCTCTACACTTGTTAACTGATCCATTTGCATTTAACTTGGTTCTAAACAACCATTTAATTCCTATAATCTTCCGATTTTGAGGTTTATTCATAAGCTCCTAAGTGTGATTTTTCTCTATCATTCTCATCTCCTCTTTCATAGTGTACGAGCAAGAAATAATTCTTCTCGTATGATCTTGTTGATCAAGTTTGCACTCCTCCAAACAATGTTGCTTTGCCACTTGAAAACACAAACGTGAGCTAACCGACGTGTGTGTTCCGGAAACCCTCCGATGCCTAAGTCAGCAACTAGACAATAGACAATAAGCTATATGTATTCTAGAGTAAGAATTGGGATTATGATACCTGTCCATAGGTCCTGCTATGAGCTTTTATAGACTTCGCTTGACCCATTCCTAGTAGGATTTCTAACTCTCCCTATGAGAGTCCTCCTAGGAATCACACACCTTACTCACTACCAACCAAGTGAAATGGTTTGCACAATCCTAGTAGGACTTTACTCTCCTTAGCAGAGTCCTCCTAGGAGTCACACTCCTATTCACTACCAACCAAGTGAGATGGTTTTTACATAATCCCAGTAGGACTCTAACTCTCCCTAGCAGAGTCCTACTAGGAGTCTCATCACTGCAAGCCAAGTGAGATGGCTAAACCCTTTACCTTGGTTATACATTCCTGGCCGAACTGCCTTATCTCGGTCCCCTGCTATTCAGACCGTGTGATCGAAAGCCGATCTATCGAATGCCACCCAGCCGAGCTATACACAGCTCAGCCCTCGCTATTGATGTTACCTCCTTTGTTTAAGCTGCTGCAACCTAACCGAGCTAGATTACCTCGGCTAACCACCAGGCCCATTTATTTAGGTAGCTCGATCCAAAGTACCTCTGCCCAGCTTGGAGTTCATACAACAGGGGACCAAGCTACTCGAAGCCCATAGCTCGGCCCATAGTTCGGCCTAAATCTGAAATATGAGACGTCTTCTTGGCCTAAGACCGAGCTACAAAAGTCCTTATCTCGGCCTATTACGCGGCCCAACTCCCAAAGAAGACTCTTCTTAGCTTGGCCCAATTTGTTCACAAATTAGCCTCTCAATTGCCCCTTAATTCCATCTACGTAGTATGATTGGGATTATTTTTCCTCCAGCCGAGCTAAGAACGCCCCCACTCTGCCGAGCTAAAAAGTTGTTCGGTTTCACAGCTCGTTCAGTCCCAACCTATCTTGCTAGTTGCTCAGCACGTCATTCCCAGGATACGTAGCGTGCCCCCATTATCCTCGTTCTCTTGTTACAACCGTCCTGTACTTTCAAAATTTTGAATAGCCCCGCCTTTTTTGGCCGAGATAACCATCTCGGTCCAAGCATTCAAAAATATGTCGCTCAAACCTACCAGCTTGCTCTGGCCGAGGTACGCACCTCAGTTGAAGAATCCAAAAAACTTTGTTGGTCAAACCTGCTAACCTGCTTTGGCCGAGGTAACTATCATCCCGGTCAAAGAGTGTCAAAGTTCTGTTGCTCATACATGCCAACTTCCTGCAGCCTAGATCCTTATCTTGGCTTAGGAATGAAAAAAGTGTTGGTTTTTCCAGCCAACCTCTTCAGCTTAGATCCTGATCTCGGCTGAAGAGAGCTCAGTGTTGGTTATTCCGGCCAACCTAGAGTCAAGTGTTTGGTTATTCCGGCTAAACGTCCTGCAGCCTGGATCCTTATCCTCGGCTTAGGAGAGTTGTTGGTTTTTTCAGTCAACTTCTTCAGCCCAGATCCTTATCTTAGCTGAAGAGAGCTCAAGGTTGGTTATTTCGGCCAACGTAGAGCGAAGTGTTTGATTTTTTCAGCCAAACGTCCTGCAGCCTGGATCCTTATCCTCGGCTTAGGAGAGGTGTTGGTTTTTCCAGCCAACTTCTTCAGCCCAGATCCTTATCTTAGCTGAAGAGAGCTCAAGGTTGGTTATTCCTTCCAACCTTCTTGGTTGCCCTCTAGTCGGGCAAAGACTTGTTAGAAAAAGTTAGCCAATCCTGCTTTTGAACAGCCCCGCCTTTTTTGGCCGAGATAACCATCTCGGTCCAAGCATTCAAAAATATGTCGCTCAAACCTACCAGCTTGCTCTAGCCGAGGTACGCACCTCAGTTGAAGAATCCAAAAAACTTTGTTGGTCAAACCTGCTAACCTGCTTTGGCCGAGGTAACTATCATCCCGGTCAAAGAGTGTCAAAGTTCTGTTGCTCATACATGCCAACTTCCTGCAGCCTAGATCCTTATCTTGGCTTAGGAATGAAAAAAGTGTTGGTTTTTCCAGCCAACCTCTTCAGCTTAGATCCTGATCTCGGCTGAAGAGAGCTCAGTGTTGGTTATTCCGGCCAACCTAGAGTCAAGTGTTTGGTTATTCCGGCTAAACGTCCTGCAGCCTGGATCCTTATCCTCGGCTTAGGAGAGGTGTTGGTTTTTCCAGCCAACTTCTTCAGCCCAGATCCTTATCTTAGCTAAAGAGAGCTCAAGGTTGGTTATTCCTTCCAACCTTCTTGGTTGCCCTCTAGTCGGGCAAAGACTTGTTAGAAAAAGTTAGCCAATCCTGCCAACCTTCCCCGTTGCCCCCCAGTCGGGCAAAGACTTTCGCGCGGTCTATCCTTCTGGCCAAAAAGATTTTTGACTGGTATCCCTGTTGTGCTGGACTCTGCCTTGGTGCGCGCCCCATCTTCCTCTACCCTGATGTGTTGGTGCACTCTCTCCATCAGGGCTTCTATAGTAAGGGGCAGCGTCATTGTCATTGAAGCTCTCAACTTATTGCCAGCCGGCAAACCTCATTTATACTGTGCAATAGCTAGGCTGGTAGGACAATCTGTTACTTGGTTGAAGGTCTCCCAATACCTATTGTTGTAAGACTTCAACGTTTCCTTCTCACCCATGTCGATGGAGAGAAGCTGGTCAATCTCCACTGGCGTCTTAGCGTTTGTTCTGAATCTGGTTACAAATGCCTCCGCTGGCTGTGCCCATGAAGCTATACTACCTTCTGGTAACCTTTCAAACCATGTTAAACCCATGTCGCCAAGGCTGGAAGGAAACATAATATACATTAGAGCCTCGTTTCGCCGATACACGGCCATAATCTGGTAAAAGTGGCTCAAGTGTATGTAGGGGTCCGACTTCCTCTCATAAGTAGTGAATTTGGGCTGGTGGAAGCCTGAAGGTAGTGGTGCATTCTCAATTGTCGGAATGAACGGTGAGCTCTGCAACCTTGCTAACGTTTTTTCTGTTGGTTCATAGGCAAGGCGTGGCTCTGGATTTCCAACCTCGACACTCCCATGTGTTATAGGAGCCAATCGTTGTAGTGCGGAGACTCTGCGGGGGTCGCGAGCCTGAGTGTCTTCTCTTCTTCAAGCCCTTTCAATCCTTATTCTCTCAGGCTTGGAGTAGCGTGTCCTGCAGGTCTTTGATTGTGTATCACCCGACCTAAGGCTTCTACTTCTAACTTGTGATGGTGTGACTTGTCTGTCGCGATCTTCTGCATAGCGAGGGTGCTCCCTACTCTTGCCCACATCTTCTTTCGTCGTCCTTATGCCCTTTATTTGGCGCTTCGTAGTCTCCATGTCTGCCGTCATCCTTCTTATTACTTCGTCTTGCTCCCTTACGCAATCTTCGAGAACCTGAGGATCCATCTTCCGCCTCTGTCTATCAGGGCTCTGAGAGTGGTGTGAACTTGAGCCCTATCTTTCTCTTGCTTTTCTCCGCAGATTCCTTCGCTGGGGATCTAATTCCGCCATGGATGCGATAGAAGGTAAACCTTCGCGCCTCCCACCCCTTTCCGGTGTTTGCCCATCAATAGCAGATTGCGGTAAGTCTTCATTGTGCGCCATTGCTTCTAACTAGAGAGGAAAACTTGATCAAGAGGTTTTGCTCTTTGTGAAATTTCCACAGACGGTGCCAATTGTACAAGCAAGAAGTAATTCTTCTCGTATGATCCTGTTGATCATATTTGCACTCCTCCAAACAATGTTGCTTTGCTACCTGAAAACACAAACGTAAGCTAACCGGCGAGTGTGTGCCGGAAACCCCTCCGATGCCTAAGTCAGTAACTAGACAATAGACAATAAGCTCTATGTATTCTAGAGTAAGAATTGGGATTATGATACCTGTCCATAGGTCCTGCTATGAGCTTCTATAGACTTGGCTTGGCCCATTCCTAGTAGGATTTCCAACTCTCCCTATGAAAGTCCTCCTAGGAATCATACACCCTGCTCACTACCAACCAAGTGAGATGGTTTGCACAATCCTAGTAGGACTTTACTCTCCTTAGCAGAGTCCTCCTAGGAGTCACACTCCTACTCACTACCAACCAAGTGAGATGGTTTTTACATAATCCCAGTAGGACTCTAACTCTCCTTAGCAGAGTCTTACTAGGAGTCTCATCACTGCAAGCCAAGTGAGATGGCTGAACCCTTTACCTCGGTTATACATTCCTGGCCGAACTGCCTTATCTCGATCCCCTGCTATTCGGACCGTGTGATCGAAAGCCGATCTATCGAATGCCACCCAGCCGAGCTATACACAGCTCGGCCATCGCTATTGATGTTACCTCCTTTGTTTAAGTTGCTGCAACCTAACCGAGCTAGATTACCTCGGCCAACCACTAGGCCCATTTGTTTAGGTAGCTCGGTCCAAAGTACCTCTGCCCAGCTTGGAGTTCATACAACAGGGGATTGAGCTACTTGAAGCCCATACCTCGGCCCATAGTTCGGTCTAAATCCGAAATATGAGACGTCTTCTTGGCCTAAGACCGAGCTACACCAGTCCTTATCTCGGCCCATTACGCAGCCCAACTCCTAAAGAAGACTCTTCCTAGCTCGGCCCAATTTGTTCACAAATTACCCTCTCATATAGCTTCTATCCATTTCTGATCCTTTTTAGCTTCTTCAATTCTTGCAGGCTCCGTTACAACAACATTGCATCTTTGATAAATGTTAGAAAGCAGTCTTGCTTCCCTGACTAGTTGGTCATCAACATTGTCTTCATAAGGTTGCAAATCTTCTAAATTTTTTTCTTTTTCTCCATCATCTCAATTCCATTGCTCATTCTCCATGAAATTAACGTCTCTACTTATCAGAATTTCCCTGTTTGAGGTTGGAAAACTCTGTAAGCTTTAGAGATGTTGCTGTAACCAATAAAGACTCTTGGTTCTGCTTTCTTATCAAGCTTGTCTCTCTTCACCTAAGGCACATATGAAAAACACAAATAACCAAATACTTTAAAGTTATGTAGTGAAGGTTTGTATCCATACCAAACCTCAAAGGGTGTTTTTCTTTTCAAAGCCCTTGTTGGAAGTCTGTTAAGTAGAAAAATAACAATATTTGCAGCCTCTGTCCAGAATTTTTTTGGCAGCCCCTTTTCATGTAGGAAACTTCTGGTCATCTCCATGAGTGTTCTATTCTTCCTCTCATTCACTCCATTTTGTTGTGGAGTATATGGAGCTGTCAGCTGGTGCTCGATTCCAGCTTCTTCACAAAACAAATCGAACTATTCTGAGGTGTATTCCTTGCCATTAGCTGATCTTAATACTTTCATCTTGCAGCCACTCTGGTTTTCCACTCAAGCTTTGAATTTCCAGAACACAGCTGCAACCAGCCCCTTTTCATGTAGGAAACTTCTGGTCATCTCCATGAGTGTTCTATTCTTCCTCTCATTCACTCCATTTTGTTGTGGAGTATATGGAGCTGTCAGCTGGTGCTCGATTCCAGCTTCTTCACAAAACAAATCGAACTATTCTGAGGTGTATTCCTTGCCATTATCTGATCTTAATACTTGCATCTTGCAGCCACTCTGGTTTTCCACTCAAGCTTTGAATTTCCAAAACACAGCTGCAACCTTAGATTTAAACCTTAAGAAGTAAATCCAACACATTCTTGTTAAATCATCTATAAAAGCAATATAATATTTACTTTCCTTTAATGATGGGGTTCTCTGAGGCCCTCCAAGATCAGTATGTATTAGTTGCAGCTTCTATGAAGCTCTCCAAGCCTTTTTAGGAAATGGCAATCTACTTTGTTTTCCATATTGACAAGCCTTGTAGCCAAGTAGATGCTCTTCTACTAGAGGTAACCCTTGTACCAGCTAATTTTTCAATATATATATGAGTGCTCATGGTGAAAATGCCCCAATCTCTTGTGCCAAATTTCTGTTGTGTTCATAGAGACATGATATGTTGTCTGCTTCTCTTTCATTGGATCTAAAGAGAAGCATTTGCTTCTCATTTTGATTGTACACACCTCACGGCCATCTACATCTCTAATCATACACTTTTTATCTTCAAACAACAATTTATAGCCTTTTTCCAATAGCTGACCAACACTTAGCAAATTTTGATCAATTCTAGGCACATATAAAACATCAGTGATTAGTTTTGTACCTGAAACACTTTCAATTGTTACTGTCCTTTGTCTCTTACTTCAATGAACTCACCATTTCCAACCTTGACTTTGGAAATTTTAGTTCTATCTAGCTCTCTAAAGAGCTCTTTGTCATAGATCATATGGTTTGTGCAGCCACTATCAACTAACCAGTGTTCATTAGAGCTTTTGCATGGATAACATGAGGCAACAAACAAGTGCTCCTCCTCTTGCTGATCCACAATTTTAGCTTCACCCTCTTGCTATTATTTGTTTTTACAAACCTTCTCTATGTGGCCTAATTGGTTGCACTTTCTGCACTTGATGTCAGGTCTCCGCCAACAGTTAGATTGAGGATGATTTGTCTTATTGTAATGCTGGCATTGAGGGTAAGTTCATCCTTTGTTGTTACTGTCTCCAGCTTCAGCATTACCTTTGCTTGAGTTGTCATTATTGCCCTTCTTTTTCTTGCCTTTACTTTTATCCTAGATTTGTAGTTTGGCCTTCAAAGCTCCCTCTACAAACCGTTCTTTCCTAATCAGTCTTGTTTGATCATGTGCCTATAAAGTATTCAAAAATTCTACCAAGGAAATACTTGTTAAGTCTTTAGATTCCTCAAGAGAGGAGATTTTGGACTCAAGCCTTTCGGGTATGGTTACTAGGATTTTTTCAACAACCCTTTAATTAGACAAGTCTTCTCCAAGCAACCTTACCTTGTTTACTATGCTTAGCAGCCTATCAGAGTACTCCTTTATGGTTTCTAATTCCTTCATCCTTTGTATCTCCAAATTCCCTCCTTAAGCTCATCACTTGCATGCTCCTTGATCTGTCATTGCCTTGAGACTCGGTTCTAAGATAGTCCCAGATGTTTTTGGCTAACTCCAAAGTCATGATCTTGGTGAAAATAGCTTTAGAAACTACTGAATGGAGGCAAGACTTGGCTTTGAATTTTTTAATTGTCCTCTCCTTGTGAATCTTGATTTCTTGTATAGTAGGATTGTCAGGCAATGGAACGATTTCATAATCAGCTTCAACTACCTCCCAAAGATCAACTGCATGCAAATAAGCAATCATCCTTACTGCCCAGGTTTGATAATTCTCACTAGTGAAAACTGGTGGCATTATTGGAGAGAAAGCATTTGAGGCCATGCTTAGAAAGATTAGGTGTTTATGTGTTTTGGTGTTTTGGTGAAAGATCACTCTCAGGATTTCTCACACATGCTCCTTAAGAAAACAACTTTGATATCAATATGTTGATATTTTTACAAGAACAGTAACAAAACAAGAACATATAAGAACATAAATGAGCTCCCAAATGACCTTATATTTTATTGACTAGAAAGTGCTTTATATATATGAGAAATATAACATAAATGCATAACAAATTGCAAAGAAATAGCATCACAAGCCCATGAATACATGAGCTTATCTTCTAGTTTCCTATTTTCTAGTAACAACTACTTTGAAGCTTTCAAACATTTTGACTTATTTAAAAATACTCCAATAACTTTATTTCAGCAATCTTTGAATATCTTCGCAGCCTCCTCAACATGACACATCAGTAGTTGAGTCATCTTCTCAACAAAACTCATCAAATAGCTCAACTTGTCTCCCATTCAGGGGTTGCACAGGCCTACTATTTTCCTTGCATGTTGCTTTCACTGGAGCCTTCAAAGCCTTTATTTGTTCTTTAGATATTGATCTCTCCTGCATTTTTTTGCACCCTATTATTAAATTATGCATGTACAAGGATTGAAATTTCATTTCGGTGTATTGTTGTAATTAGTATGGAAACATAAATGTTTTGAACACTTTAACAACAAAATGAATTTGAGGTGCATAAAAATGATTGGAAACATAAATTGAAATCCATCAAATGTGTAAAAGTTTGATAATTGATAATTTAAAAATATTGAGATTTATATATAGTTATTCACATAAAAGAATAAGTATAAAACTTTTAAAAAATAAAAAAATAAAAGTGTTTTTACAAACCAAAAATATTAAGTATTGTCAAATAACTCAATTTTATTAAAGACAAGTGTAAAGAATCCCAACAAATAAGGTTTTCAATTTTCTTTAAAAAATTAGTGTGCATATATACACTTATTTGGGTCACATCAATCAATATCTGCTCTCTACTTTTTTACCAACTTTTTCTACTTTTCTACACATATTTTTTTTTATAAAAAGTAAAAAACTACACTTTTTTAAAACATCCTAAACCATTCCTATAAAATGATGTAAAAGCAGTGGTGGAGGGAGTAAGGGACCAAGGGGGTTACGTACCCCTTGGATTTTGGGTTTTTTTTTTATAAAGAAAATATTTTAAATAAAAAAAATTACAAAAATATTATTAGAGTGAAATGTCAATGATATTTTAAAAATTATGAGAACAATAATGGTTATTTTAATTGGAAAAATGAAGAGATTGTTATAAACTATATTATCTATGAAAATTTTATGAAATTTTTTGAATATAACAGTGATATCATTATTATTGACATGCAAGTATAAATAATCTCACTATGAAGATATGAAATTTATTAGATTATTAATTACATTTGACATGTGAGGTTCACTCTCTATGTATTTATTTACTATTAGTTGGTAATATCACATACTAATGATGACGTGGTATTACCATTATATTGAATTTTTAATCAAATTTTGTATGAAAAAATAATTTATCATTATATAATTTATTTTAAGACTTGTATATATCTATATTTTTTTTATTGTCTATGATACACTAGTTATAAATAACATTATTTTTTGATATTTTTTTAAATCAATCGTAAAAACTTGCGTGAAATATTTTTGTAAAATTTTTTGATATTGTAATTAATAAGTACCCTTACTAATTTAATTTTCTGACTCCGCCACTGACAAAGATTATTATTCCAATGTAGTGCACTGTGTTTTGGAGTGTTTTAAGGAAACAAAATAAATTCTTTATTCTACTATTATTTTTAATTTGGTTTTAATTTGGTCTCTTAGAAAACATAAACATTTTAGTTATCCCATTCGAAACAAACAAATGAAAGTTTTGTTCCTTTGTATGTATATATGGATGCACTTTATTGATGAAATGAACTTATCTAACCTTGCCAAAGATGTGCCAGGTAACATTCTCGGTGCACGGAGGAGTAGTGAGAGAACCAACATATCTATAATACTTGCGTGTATTTCGCCTCAATTTCCAAGTGTCATAGGACCCAACGGCGATTTGATCTTCATCTGTAAACACCTCCTTACCTAGCTCAGCTAATTTACCTTGGATCTACAACCATGAAACATCACAACACCTATTAACTTATCAAACACTTCCATTCACTAGAATTTCAATATCAAGTTCTTCTACCTACCACAAGGGGTGACAGGTGAGCATATGCTTAAATGCAATAAATCTATATATATACTCTACCTTGGCAATAATAGGATCGGCATCACCAATTTTATAAAGGATGGCTATAACTGTGAAGCTTCCATCGCTAGCATTGTGGACTAGATGTAGCTCTGCATCAAATCTATAATTATTTAAAACATAAATTGAAGTCAAATTATAAAGATGAAAAATATACACTACAAGAATTTACATATTTGCCGACCACTTTTGCCGACCAAAAAAATTTTTGTCGCAAAAAAATAACATTTGCCGACCAAAAAATATTTTGTAGCTAAACGTTGATACTATTACCGACTAAAGTAATTTTGTTGCAAAAAGGTGATTTTTCGCGACCAATTTAAAATATTAGTCGCTAAAAATGATGTCAGGAGGTGAAAAATTGGGCGGGAACAGTAAAATCTTTTAGCGACTAACACAATTTAGTCGCGGATATCAAAACGACGTCGTTTTGATATCCGCGACTAAATTGTGTTAGTCGCTAAAAGATTTTACTGTTCCCGCCCAATTTTTCACCTCCTGACATCATTTTTAGCGACTAATATTTTAAATTGGTCGCAAAAAATCACCTTTTTGCAACAAAAGTACTTTAGTCGGTAATAGTATCAACTTTTAGCTACGAAATGTTTTTTGGTCGGCAAATGTCATTTTTTTGCGACCAAAATTTTTTTGGTCGGCAAAAGTGGTCGGCAATTGTGTAAATTCTTGTAGTGAATATGCCATTTTTTTTGAATTTCTCAGCAGAAAATCAGATTGAACTTTAATCCCAAACCTCACCCATTTTGGCCAAATTATTTTATATCACTAATATTTTATTAATTTGTAGTATTTTATAATTTTATGTGTCTGTATATATTTTTTAGGTGTGTTTATATAAATTGGTATAATCTAATTTTGATATTTTAGAAAATAATAAAAAAAAAGGAAAATAATAATAAAAAAAAAAAAAGAAGAAGAAGATTGAATTCAATTTATATATATATATATATATATATGTTTATATACACTATACATGATAAAATATATTATGGTCAGATGGGGTTTGGGGTAAAAAGAGGATTTTCTTGCTGGATTCAATAATGATGGAATTCAATTTTATTAAAGACAAGTGTAAAGAATCCCAACAAATAAGGTTTTCAATTTTCTTTAAAAAATTAGTAGTAATAGAATTTCTAAATTAGAAGTAACAATATTTATTGACATGGTAAAATACAACCTTTATATTTTTTTTTCTCTGAAAAAATATATAAAAAATAATGAAATATTCTAAATCCACGTCAACAAAGATTATTATTCCAATGTAGCGCACTGTGTTTTGGTGTGTTTTGATGGAAACAAAATAAATTCTTTATTCTACTATTATTTTTAATTTGGTTTTAATTTGGTCTCTTAGAAAACATAAACATTTTAGTTATTCCATTGGAAACAAACAAATGAAAGTTTTGTTCCTTTGTATGTATATATGGATGCACTTTGTTGATGAAATGAACTTATCTAACCTTGCCAAAGATGTGCCAGGTAACATTCTCGGTGCACGGAGGAGTAGTGAGAGAACCAACATATCTATAATACTTGCGTGTATTTCGCCTCAATTTCCAAGTGTCATAGGACCCAACGGCGATTTGATCTTCATCTGTAAACACCTCCTTACCTAGCTCAGCTAATTTACCTTGGATCTACAACCATGAAACATCACAACACCTATTAACTTATCAAACACTTCCATTCACTAGAATTTCAATATCAAGTTCTTCTACCTACCACAAGGGGGGACAGGTGAACATATGATTAAATGCAATAAATCTATATATATACTCTACCTTGGCAATAATAGGATCGGCATCACCAATTTTATAAAGGATGGCTATAACTGTGAAGCTTCCATCGCTAGCATTGTGGACTAGATGTAGCTCTGCATCAAATCTATAATTATGTAAAACATAAATTGAAGTCAAATTATAAAGATGAAAAATATAATTTATTTAGTTTTTTATTTGAACGATCTATAAAAAAAAAAATTAAAAACATTAAAAAAAAATTTAAAAAAAAACATGAGACAGAAAAAGAACATACGTGACACCATTGATTTTGTGCTCAGAAGGAGAATGCCAGTGCATTTGACGCAAGATGTAGTTCTTGCCATTTAAAATCAAGACTCCAGCATTTCCAAATTTCAGCTACATATTGATAAATAATTCTTCATTGAGCAAAAACATGTACAACAATGTGTGCCATAGTCAAAGCCACAAAAGTGAATGCTTATAATCCAAAACCATTTTACTATTGTAGCTACTAAGGGGTTGTTTAGGTTGTCCTAAACAAGTGTACTTTTTGTCTTTTTAGACTAAAAAGTTAAGGAAAAAAATATGGATGCTTGGGTTAACTTTTTGACTTTTTATGAAAAAAATGTGTATTAAAAAATTGTATAAATTAGTGTGTAGGAAAAAATTAGGATTGAGAGTTGTGTAGCCGTACTTTTTGACTTTTGGTGAATAGTGATAACTTTTTAACTTTTTGAGTAACTTTTTGACTTTTTGACTTTTTTTCAACTTGCTAAACTTGACCTAAATTCTCTGTTTTTTTAAAGGTGCGGTTATTATGTAAATTACAATTTTCAATCTAAAAATTGAAAAAAAAAAAATCACATAAAATAATGTAACAATGACTTATTTAAAATTAAAGCTTATAAATAAATAAATCTTTTAGCTTTAGTGATCCTAGTCAAATAAGTCACACCATTTTATACAAAATTTTACATAGCAAGAGAAATAACACTTCCATCTAACTTTAGAAATTATTTTACCACGGTGTCTCACCCCTTGTATGTTTAGCAAACATTGGCCCTGTTTGGTCCAGTTTATTAGAGCTACTTAGAGTTTTTTTTTTTTTTTTTTCCGAAAATCTATGTCAAACACAGCTTCTTATAAGTTATGAGGTAAAAATAATTTCAATAAGTTAAAAAAAAAATTACCTCAAAACTGGGGGAGGAATATTTACTTTTGGCTTTTATTACTTTCTCAAATAGATTAAGTAATGCTTTCAAATTCAAAATAACTAAAAGATTTCTCAACAAACTTCTTGAAAAGACACAAATGAATATCCAAGTGCACATAGCATTTGAAGGTATGGATATCTAGTCACGAGTGTAATCCATACCTCAAATTGCTAGAAAATCAATCTTATGCTTTCTTGAAATAACTTTCAATTTTAATTTAATTATGATGGTTGCTGGTACCAAAAGTAAAAGGAAGGCCAAAAACATACCTCAACGTTGTAGCCATGGTTAACCAACGTAGCGTTTACAGGGTAATATTCTCTTCTCAAGGGCTTCAAGTTTTTATTACGAACAACTTTGTTCTTTACAATGTCAATCGGAGACTGCACTTTTCCATTCGAGCATGTCGTGTAACAAGGGCTCAAGCTTCCCCAATTGTCAGGGCCGGTTTTGCCGGAATAGCTAAACACCGGACCTGTTCCATGCTCTGGGGATAAAAAATTAACAAAATTAATATCATCAGTTTGAAAGTAAACAAAATTAATCATTTGTTGGTTGGAAGGACATGAGCAATATTTTCTTTTGATCTTCAAGCTCTGCTTGGTTATCAAAACTATTATGCAAAATCGTGAAAAAAAAATAAAGCAAATAGACAAGATATATGTACTACATCCACGGAAATAAGGACATCAAATTCACTATGTATAACAAAATTATAGAACTCTAAACTTATCAATTGAACCATTCAGTGAATTCGATTTGTTCATGAATTTAATTAAGAAAAACTTATTAGATAGTCAACAGTATCATGTTGCATTGATTACTACATAGGTCATCCGTATCATTCTTTATTTCTCAAAAACTTAATGTTAGCAGATATTTTAATATTATAATGTGTCATAGGTTGTTTCTCTTTACTTTTCTACCTAGTTTGCTTCCCATTCTAGTCTCCAAGACTTCCTAAATAAGTCTTCCTAGTCTTCTCCAAGTCTTCCCATTCCTATCCATTCCAAGACTTCCAAGGTAAGCCATCCAAGGTCTTGGTCAAGTCCACCAATTCTTATCCATCAAGAATCTTGCCTAAGAAGTTTTCATTTCTATATATATGGAACTTATGTCATATCTTAGAACATACGAGAGAAGAAGTTTTGGTTGTGTTGTTATGTCTTGAGTGAGATTATCAGGCAAATTAAAAAGGGTGTGTATGATAAAGCTTTGGGTTCAACCAATTGTGCAGTATTAGTGAACCATACGACTTAGTCGGGCTGTTGTATCCTGGGAGGGACAAGTCAAGGTTTTTTCTGCTGCACCGGTGTGAGGCTTTGCCTAACCGCAGAGGGCTTGAATCTCCTTAAAGAGAGCGAATTTCCCGCGCCTCAGTCCTTTCAATTATTATTGTAATTTCTATTATTTGTATTTTCTAGTATTTTATTTGTAATTATCACCAACAATTTTAAGGAGATTCAAATAGCAAAAGTTCATGGAGCCAGTACTGGAGAAGCCCAACGAGAATACCGGCGATCTCAACAAGCCCTTCCGGTTCAAGGGAGCTCATTTCAAGAGATGGAAAGGCAAGGTGCTTTTCTACCTCAGTCTCCTCAAGGTGGCTTATATCCTGACCGAGAAAAATCCGAACAAAATCCCCACTGAAGAGATGACTGACGAGGAGTATGCTGCTCATCTTGAAAAACTCAAAAAATACAACACAGATAAGTATAAATGTCGATACTATCTTTTGAATTATCTTTCAGATCAATTTTATGATTATTATGATACTACTTACACCATTGCCAAGAAAATTTGGAAAGCCTTGCAGAACAAATATGACACTGAAGAGGCAGGCGCTAAAAAATATGTTGCAAGCTATTTTTTCCGCTATCATATGATAGATGGAAAATCAGTGGTGGAGCAAGTTCAAGATTTTCAGATGTTAGTAGCTGAAGTTAGATCTGAAGGCATCAAAATTGGAGACAATCTTGTTGTAGCAAGTATTGCTGACAAACTTCCATCATCTTGGAGGGAGTTACAGAAGTCAATGCGTCACAAGCAAAAAAGAGACGTCCTTGGAGACTCTAATCACATGGATTCGGGTTGAGGAAGAAGCACGATGACAAGATGCACTTATGACACAAGAGCATTCCACTGCAAAGGTAAATTTAACTTCTGGAAATACTTTACCTAAAGGTCGATTTCATAAAAATAGTCATTTGAAGCCAATTAAGAAAATTTGGAAAAATACTAGAAGGCCACAAAATAAAAAGTACCCAAGGCAAAAGAAATGGAACCAAGAACCCCCTTCACAAGATCTGACAAATGTGACATGTTTTGTGTGTGGCAAAAGTGGGCATATTACGCGAACTTGCAAATTTCGAAAACAACAGTCTCGACCGCAGGCTAATGTTACCGAGGAACCATTTGTGGCTATCATCACAGATATTTTTATGGTTCAATCTGTAGAAGGGTGGTGGGCAGACTCTGGTGCCAATAGGCATGTCTGCTATGATAAAGATTGGTTCAAAGATTTCACTCCTTTTAATGAGAAGAAGACTATTATGCTTGGTGACTCCAATTTAACCAAGGTGCTCGGGTGTGGGGATGTTGAGCTGAATTTTACCTCTGGACGTGTGCTTGTTTTAAAAGATGTGTTGTACACACCGTCCATAAGAAAAAATTTGATGTCAAGTTATTTGCTTAACAAAGCTGGTTTCAAACAAACTATTGAATCTGACCAATATGTAATCACTAAAAAAGGCATATTTGTGGGCGAAAGGGTATGCCTGTGATGGAATGTTTAAATTAAATGTTGAGAATAAGAAAGCACATGTTTCTGTTTACATGTTGTCTTCTATGAATTTTTGGCATGCTCGTCTGTGTCATATTAATAGCCGATATGCGGGAGTCATGAGTAGTTTAGGATTAATTCCCAGACTAACAAATAAGTTTGAGAAATGTGAAGTTTGCAGTCAAGCAAAAATAACTAAAAGGCCTCATAAAAGTGTGGTGAGAAATACTGAATTGTTAGAATTAATTCACACTGATTTATGTGAATTTGAAGGAATTTTAACACGCGGTGGAAATAGATATTTTATCACTTTTATTGATGATTTTTCAAAATACACTTATGTATACTTGTTGAAAAATAAAAGTGATGCTTTTGAAAAATTTAAAGAATTCCTTCTTGAAGTTGAAAATCAATTCGGTAAAAAGATTAAAAGGTATAGGAGTGATAGAGGCCGGGAGTATGAATCTTTTGGATTCAACTCGTTTGCTCAGTCTTTGGGAATAATCCATGAAACTACTCCACCATATTCACATGCATCCAATGGTGTAGCAGAAAGGAAAAATAGAACTTTAACTGATTTAACAAATGCTATGCTAATTGAAGCAAATGCTTCTTCAAATTTGCGGGGAGAAGCAATTTTAACTGCATGTTATGTTATAAATAGAGTGCCACATAAAAAAACAAAAGTTACACCTTTTGAGTTGTGGAAAGGACATAAGCCAAATTTGAGATATTTGAGAGTTTGGGGTTGTCTAGCTTTTGTTAGACTTGTGGACCCTAAAAGACCTAAATTAGGTATGAAAGCTGCCACTTGTGCTTTTCTTGGATATGCAACAAATAGTACAGCCTATAGATTTTTTGATATTGAAAACAAAATAATTTTTGAATTAGGTAATGCAATTTTTCATGAAGAAAAATTTCCTTTTAAATCTAAAAATGGTGGGGGTCAAAATTATTAAGAAAATATTTTATCTGAAACTGGTGCCTCTACTCCTCTTTTACAAAACCAAGATACTGTAGTTTTTGAACCAAGAAGGAGTAAAAGAGCCAGATTAGAAAAATATTTTGGCCCTGATTATTATGTTTTTAATGTGGAGGAAACTCCATTAACTTTACAAAAAGTTTTGGCATCTCCTGACTCTATTTTTTGGAACGAGGCTATAAATGATGAGATGAAATCATTATTATCCAATAAAACTTGGGTATTAGTAGATTTACCACCAGGTTGTAAAACTATTGGCTCTAAATGGGTTTTGAGAAAAAAACTTAAACTGGATGGAACTATTGATAAATATAAAGCAAGGCCTGTTGCAAAAGGTTTTAAACAACAAGCAGATCTTGACTTTTTTGATACATTTTCTCCGGTTACTAGAGTTACATCCATTAGATTATTAATTGCAGTGGATGCAATTCATGATCTAAAAATTCATCAAATAGATGTTAAAACAGCCTTTTTAAATGGAGACCTGGGTGAATAAATCTATATGGATCAACCTGAGGGTTTTGTGGAACCCGGTCAAGAAAGCAAAGTGTGCAAGCTAGTTAAATCCCTATATGGCTTAAAACAGGCCCCTAAACAGTGGCATGAGAAATTTGATTCCTGCATGATTGAGAATGGCTATAAAACGAATGAATGTGATAAATGCATTTACTATAAATCTGAAGAAAATTCACATGCCATTATTAGCCTCTATGTGGATGATCTACTTATATTTGGCTCTAATTTGCATATCATCGTGGAAACTAAAAATATGCTTAGTAGCCATTTTGATATAAAAGAGCTTGGTGAGGCTAATTATATTTTGGGAATGAAAATTACCAAAACCTGTGATGGTATATTTCTTGATCAGTTGCATTATGTTGAGAAAATATAATTTTTATAACTGCAAGCATGTTCTTACTCCTTTTGATCTTCATGTGCGTTTATTTCCTATTGAAAATGATGAGGATGCAATTAATCAAAAGGAATATGCTAGTATGATTGGTAGCTTGCGTTATGCGACTGATTATACTAGACATGACATTGCCTATGCAGTTGGAGTACTTAGCAGGTTTACTAGCAAGCCTGGAAATGATCACTGGCTAGCCATTGAGCGTATTATGAAATATTTATCTGGTACCATAAAATATGGCTTGTTTTATAATAAGTATCCTACAATACTTGAAGGCTACAGTGATGCCGATTGGAATACATTGTCAGGTGATTCATTATCAACCACTGATTACTTATTTACATTGGGAGGCGGTGCTATAAGTTGGAAATCAAAAAAACAAACCATTATTACTAATTCAACAATGGAGGCTAAGCTTATTGCTTTAGCTACAGCTAGTGAAGAAGCAAATTGGTTAAGAGATTTGTTAAATGAAATCTTTTGTTGAGAAAAACCGATTCCACCTATATTAATTCATTGTGATAACACCGCAGCAATTGGTCGAGTTAATAACCATTATTATAACGGTAAATCCAGACCTATCAGAAGAAAACACAGTACTGTGAGATCTTATATGAATAATAGCATCATAAATGTGGATTATATTAAATCTAGTGATAATCTTCCAGATCCATTAACTAAGGCCTTAGCAAGAGATAGAGTCTGGAATACATCGAGGGGGATGGGGTTGAAACCCATTGAATATAGCAGGAGCCATGTATGAGGATACTCAACCCAGGGACCAGAGATCCTGTAACTGGATTCAATGAGAAAAACGATCATATGATGGCCGTGAGAAATGCACTAAATTACTTTTTTCCCATCCCTATGATGTAAGTGCATTTATCCTGTAACACTGTAAAGGCTAAGTTATTAAAAAAACTCTTAATGAATTTTGGTAGCTCTTATTGAGTGGGGTGTCATAGTTACAGGAGCACCCTTGACAGAATTCACCTATGTGAGTGTGGTAGTGGGGCCGCTACCTATGAGATTTGGGCTAATTCTCAAACACACTCATGAATCCTAGGATCGCACAAGGCCGTAATGTGCTAGCTTTTAAAGCTTTTGTGAACACCTGGAATATTATGTGTGTACAATAATTATTTATTTCCCTTAAGTAGTCATAGTTCAATGCTGAGCATGCTATTGGCTCTGGAGTAGATATTATTGTTTCACTAATGGAGGTTCAATGCAGAGCACACCTACTATGATGCATAATATCCTTATTTGCCTAATAATCTCAGTTTTTGTTACCTGTAATATTAAAATAGGTGGGGGAATGCTAACAGATATTTTAATATTATAATGTGTCATAGGTTGTTTCTCTTTTCTTTTCTACCTAGTTTGCTTCCCATTCTAGTCTTCAAGACTTCCTAAATAAGTCTTCCTAGTCTTCTCCAAGTCTTCCCATTCCTATCCATTCCAAGACTTCCAAGGTAAGCCATCCAAGGTCTTGGTCAAGTCCACCAATTCTTATCCATCAAGAACCTTGCCTAAGAAGTTTTCATTTCTATATATTGAACTTATGTCATATCTTAGAACATACGAGAGAAGAAGTTTTGGTTGTGTTGTTGTCTTGAGTGAGATTATCAGACAAATTAAAAAAGGTGTGTGTGATAAAGCTTTGGGTTCAACCAATTGTGCAGTATTGGTGAACCATACGACTTAGTCGGACTGTTGTATCCTGGGAGGGACAAGTCAAAGTTTTTTTTGCTGCAACGGTGTGAGGCTTTGCCTAACCGCAGAGGGCTTGAATCTCCTTAAAAAGAGCGAATTCCCCGCGCCTCAGCCCTTTCAATAATTATTGTAATTTTTATTAGTTGTATTTTCTAGTGTTTTATTTGTAATTATCACCAATACTTAACAAGGTAAGTAAATATTGTCCCACTCGTAATGTTTTTTGTTACATCGCCAATTGAATTTTCTACAATGATTATTGCAAAGGATAATTGTGTTTTGGACTTAAACTATCTGTGTAAATCACCAATGATGTTGTTCTGGGACTAAACCACTAGCCTACTATGGCAATATTATTTTAAGGGTGATTATTGCAGAAACTTTTATAGGATTAAAATGCTTTGCAACAATTAAGATCTTTGCAAAGTAGGATTCAAAAGCACCCCTCCTTCAACTTTCAAATAATCAAATTTTTTCAACTTATTTAAGCTATTTCCACCTAATAAGCTATAAACAAAAGTTGACTAAACATCATTATTGCAAGAATGATTTTGTAGGCTTAAACTACCAAGTACTTAAATCATCATTAATTATGTTTTGAGTTTAAATGAGATAATCATAATCCTCTTTTACATGCTGGAAAATGATTCGTAAACAAAAAAATCTCATAAAAATGATAAGACAGTGATATTTTGATAATTATGATCATTTAAATGGACCTTCTAGTTTGAAATGAATAGACACACATCTGTCATCTTGTTCCATATCATTTTTTTTTTTTCTAACTATTATACATGCATATCACCACTCTTACATGGCTATAACAAGGGGATGGAGACATGGTTGATTAGAATTAGTCATGGTTACGGACATTTGACTTGTTTGATTCATGTTTGAACAGAAACTTGAAACTTTGAAGATGATTTTATAAATTGTACGTTACATACAAGGTACAACCTTCAAAGCTTGCATAAATTTTCGAACTCCCAATTAAGAATTAGGATTTACTCTTTTATTTTATTTTTATTTTTTGGTAATAATCTCGCTGTAGGAATTCGAGGGTTCAAATTTGAAATTAAAATAAAACAATATCGTTTTAAAGTGTATAGTTTAAAATAAAAATGCAATATTTTACTTTAGTTTTAAACTTGATCATTAAATTTTATTTATTTTTTACCGATTAAAGTGTATAGTTTAAAATAAAAATGCAATATTTTACTTTAGTTTTAAACTTGATCATTAAATTTTATTTATTTTTTACCGATGACAAAACCATTGCACAAAAAAAAATGGTATATGATCTTGATCACCAATTAAAGGCAACAAATGGAGTCCATGCAAAACAATAACAAACTTCTTTCAATATTCACATTTCCCATTTGATCAAAATTTTCACTAATTTTTTTTTTTTTTCTCTATATAGGAAGTGTAATTGATAGCCAAATCTTGATGATTCTCTGTAAGTTTTCTTGGATAAACAAAACTTAAAAGAAAAAAAAAAAAAAATTCACAATAACAATAACAATAACAGTGAAGCAACAATAAATCTCAAAAAGCGATTTTATGATCTGTTTGGTCTTTTTTTTTTTTTTTTTTAATAGACCCAAAGGTCTCAGTCTAGGATGAATTACAAAAATGGCCAAAATGTGGGTTTTCTCATAATATTGAAATTACTAAATGTAACACTTTAAAAAAACTCCCTAGTATATTTTTTCTAAGCATGACACTCCAATGTAACACTCAAAAAACTTAACACTCCAATATAACACACTAAAAAAAAAATTTAGTGCACTTTTTTCAAACGTAATACTTCAATAAATGTAACGCACAAAAACTTCTTATCCAAATGTAACACACTAAAAAAATTTTTTAGTGCACTTTTCCCAAACGTAACACTCCAATCAATATAACACTAAAAAACTCCTTAATATATTTTTCTCAAACATAATAACGTAATATTTTAAAAAAATTCCTTCGTGTATTTTTTCTAAACGTAATATTCCAATCAATATAACACATAAAAACTCCTTAGTGTACTTTTTCCAAACATAACACTCTAATGTAATACACTAAAAAATTCATTAGTGTACTTTTTCCAAACGTAATAACGTAACATTCTAAAAAAACTCCTTAATGTATTTTTTTTTTCCAAACATAACACACCAATCAATGTAACACACAAAAACGCCCTAATATACTTCTTCCAAATATAACACTCTAATGTAACACTCCAATGTAATATCAAAAAACCACACTACATAAATGCAGATTTTTTCACTCGACAACCAATACTCCAACCTACAATTCCTTCAAAAAGAATACCTTTCCATTCCCATTCTAAAAATGAATTGAAAAATTAGAAAAATAAATCATGAAACGGCATTCACTTAAAGTCAAATAGCATCAAATTAAATAAATACAATTTTTCAAAACAAAAATGACTAATTGATTCATAAGAAAACTCTTAAGATTAAATGGATCAACATTTCCCCATATGAGATTTATGGGCAAATTTTCCTAACAGTAAACGCTATTAGAAAATGCAAAAAATATATCTTCAAAAAAAAAAAAGAAGAGTCATAAAACAAAGGAATTCTAAACATAGTGTAGTACTTCTTCAAACCTTTATGTTTCAAAAAAATCACAACTCTTAAAAAATATGAACTTGATTTTTGAGACACGGATAACTAAAACACACACACACACATATATATATATAATGTTGGAATTTTAAGGCCAGTTCACCTGAACTATCAGAAATAAACTATACAACAATGACACACAAGATTTATGTGGTTTGACCTCAATACCTATGTCCATAGAGAGAACAAGAGATTTCCACTAAAATAAATAGAGATTAGAACTGAGGGTGAGACTCTCTCACTCAACTCACATACTCTCTACTGTCTTACACTCTCAGCGCTCTTCTCACCTTCACAGAGATGAACACTCACTTGTGTATTCTGCTATACTCTCCCTTGTGTTCTTCTTGGCTCTTGCAAGCTAACTCATTATATAGAGGGAGTTGGAGACCACAGTTCATCCCACTCCCATATGACAGCATTAACTTGCCACTTGTCTCCCTAGCATCTCGCCCACCATTGTCAACACATGGTGGCTACTCTCCATTCATGCCAACCAATGTCAACAATGGTGGCTACCTCTATCTACATAGGTGAACTCAACATATATATATACCCACACCACATGTAAGAGAAGTAATCTTAACTATTTGATCCTAGTTTCCAACTTCCATTTGAAGAAGATGCAAAGCAAATGCATATAAGAAATGGTAGAGAGAGAGAGAGAGACACATACCCTCAAGCTCTAGGTCTGTAGAAATGGCAAAGCAGTGGAGAAGCAGCAATATCGAGGCTATACCGAAGAAGGCGAATCGAGCAGCCATTGCAGGCAGTTGTAAGTAAGTCTGATTCTCTCCAAGTCTTTTTTCTTTTTTCCTTATGTTCTTTCTTCTCAACCAATCAAAGTTTATATAGTGTTGTCTTAGGAAGTTGGTAAAAAACTGATTTTTTGACTTTCTTATGATTTTTTGTGTAAAAAAACTAAAAAGTCAAAAAGCTAACTTTTTTTTGTTAAGTTCCCAAAACACCCTATACTTTTATTTGTGTAATACACTACAGTTTCTATGTTCAGAAGTCAATTTTATATATAAAGCCAAAGGTACTAGTCTTAGCATTCGAAAATTGCCCTTCCTCTCTATTTCCATTTTACTAAGCTTATTTCCCAATAGTCCCTCACATGGACCCGGATCCTCTCTCTCGAAATACGTGTTTGTTTGGTGCAATTTTTATTGTTAAGGTTTGTTGTAAAAATTGCGTGATAACATAAAACAAATAGATTCATAATGGACAATTGAAATTTCAAACAAGCAAACAATGCTGAAAATTACAATACATAATAAAATAAAATAGCAAAGGAAAGCAAACCAAAGCCTGCACTAGACAGTGTCTTTAAAACAGATTCGTCGCCTCACCAGTTGGGTGCTGAAGGTTGTTCGACGTCTGTCTCCCAAGATACGACGATTAGACCAGCTACAGCAATGCACCGACTGAGTAGTTTCGGCAAACAGAACTTTGCAGTACTCTCTCATAGAAAGAAAATAATATAAACCTAAAAAACTTATGAAGACAGGAAGAACATCAATTTCTGGTGTAGAAAGCTGAAGGAGAGGACCTCCTTTTATATACATGGAGGAAGAGAGAAAAAGACTCTCCTTCAACAAATGCAGTATTTAATTCTGTATTAACCTACAAAACTGATGGATTTAAGTCCATCATCAATAGAGGAGTTACCAGCTATACATATAAGTTTTGGGTTATGCAGTATTTAATTCTGTATTAACCTACAAAACTGATGGATTTAAGTCCATCATCAATAAAGGAGTTACCAGCTATACATATAAGTTTTGTGTTCTGCAACCCAAAAATATTAAGATGGATGGGACAAGCCCAACCACCACACTCAATCATAAGTCCAAGCCCCAGGGATCATGGACCCAAACCCGGCCCGGTTCGAGCAGGTAGGCGAGCAGCGCGCACGATTGTGGCAATTTTTGTATAACCAACTTGGACCATAATCTTGGCCTAAGTCCATCCTTGAAACATTCACAACTCCCTTCCTTTGGAAAATTTGGATGCCCCAAAGGGCTTATACCCTTATACAAAAAATGGGGTTTAAATACCCATTAATGCTCTCCTCTACAATCAATGTGGGATACAAGGTTTTATACCTTTCCCAATACCTTTTTCATAAGGTCAACGTAATGAGTCAATTTCTCATTCAAACCTTAATGATTTTTTGTCATTCTTTTTGTATTGTAAAGATTTCATTACAAAGAATCTACACTCACTTTGCTCCACCTCAATTGAGGATTGACACCCACTTTAATATTGCATTAAAGTCACCAAAAAAATCATCACCTTGTTTGGTTCTAGTTTTCAGAAAACAGTTTTTAGAAAATTTTACTTTTTTATTTTTTACATTTTAATGTTTTCAATGAATTTTTTAATATTTTAAGCAATTTTTTTTAAAAATTTTCAGACACACCTAACATAAACACACTTAAAAAGTATAATATTTTTGAAAAAAAATCTTTAAAAAATACACTAAATACAAAAAATACAAAAAAATGAAAATTTAGTACATTTTCATATTTTTGTGTATTTATTAATTTTTTAAAATATTTTTTTCAGAAACATTTTACTATTTAGATACATCTAAGTAAAGTACATCTAAAAAAGTAAAAAAATTACTTAAAATTTACAAAATATTCATTAAAAACAAAAAAAAAACATGAAAAACAAAAAACTCAGTTTTCAAAAAACTGAAACCAAACACACTGATTATTTTTCCAACAATGATTTCATTTTTTCTTGAAAAAATCCCATTTTTCAAAAATACTTTTATTTTTCCGTTGTACCTAAAAAATTAAAAAAATTAAAAAATTAAAAAAAAAAGATACTTTTAAATTATTTTTTTGAATTTTTGAAAATTATGTTTACACAAAAATTTTTTAAAAAGGGATGATGTTTTCAAACTTTCCAAATACAAATTGCTAAGCAAGTTTTATGTGACAATTTCCATTTTCGAGAATGGAAAACAAAAAAACAAAAAATAATATCTGACAAAATCTTATTCTAAGATTTTTTTTTAAAAAAAAATATCAGAAGATGAAAATGATTGACTCCGACTAACAATATAACGATATAATAACAAAAATAAAGTCGTTGTTCAAGCCCTGTCCAATCTCGAATGAAGCCTATACTCATATTCCAACACTTGTGAAAAAAAAAATAAAATGTAAAGCCTGCTCAACTTAATTACAAATTGGTCCCTTTTTTCAAAATTTTTTTTTTTTTATTTGCTTTTTTTGGGGGGAAAGTATGTGTGATGTTGAACATTAAAAGAAAGAAAGTAAAATTATGTAAAATGTAGCTCAAGTTTAGATAACATTTGCAGCAACTTTTTCTTAGGGGGTGGGTAGGGACAAATGTATCATTTCATGTAGAAAGAGATTGAATTTTATTTATTTATTTATATTTTTTTTAGGGAATGTAGAACAACTTCATTAAATCTTGTAAAAACAAAAAGTCACCAACCAAGAATCTGAGCCATAAGTGATGAGCCATCCTAACACTAGAGTGTGATAAAAAAAATTATTCAGTGTCACTTTCGGTATTATTATAAATACTCCTCAATTATTCGATTAGAAGATTTATTTAAGAAATTCTGTCTCAAAATTATATCTCCTTGCCTTGCTCTTCTCCCAATTGCATGATGTGATAAATTTTAATCCATAAAATGTCATGGCTAAGAAAGGGATTGGTATAGGGGACAAGGGGTTTTTCGAAATAAATAATCTCATTCTTGATTTATCATTATATTTCGCATTTCATATTCGGCAATTCGGGCAACCCGAGTTCAAAATACAAAGCTTGGGCCGGGCTTGGGCAACAATGCTCGGGTTCATGGTCGGGCTTGGGCGGGCTTGGGCAGTGCCAAATACAATTCGGGTCGGGCTTGGGCAGACCCCCAACCCGACCGAACCCGCCCGAGTTGCACCCCTAATTTCATGTAGAAAGAGATTGAATTTTATTTATTTATTTATATTTTTTTTAGGGAATGTAGAACAACTTCATTAGATCTTGAAAAAAAACAAAAAGTCACCAACCAAGAATCTGAGCCATAAGTGATGAGCCATCCCAACACTCGAGTGTGATAAAAATCCATGTTTGTTTGATGCAATTTTTATTGTTAATGTTTTCATTTTTTCTTGAAAAAAACCCCATTTTTCAAAAATACTTTCATTTTTCCGTTGTACCTAAATAAATACTTTTAAATTATTTTTTGAATTTTTGAAAATTATGTTTAACAAAAAATTTTAAAAAAGGGACGTTTTCAAACTTTCCAAATACAAATTACTAAGCAAGTTTTATCTGACAATTTCCATTTTTGAGAATGGAAAACAAAAAACAAAAAATAATATCTAACACAATCTAATTCTAAGATTTTTTTTTCAAAATATACATATATCACAAGACAAAAATGATTGACTCCGACTAAACATATAACGATAAAATAACAAAAATAAAGTCGTTGTTCAAGCCGTGTCCCATCCCAAACGAAGCCTATACTCATATTCCCACACTTGTCAAAAAAAACCAAAATGTAAAGCCTGCTCAACTTAATTACAAATTGGTCCCTTTTTTCAAAATTTTTTTTTTTTTATTTGCTTTTTTTGGGGGGAAAGTATGTGTGATGTTGAACATTAAAAGAAAGAAAGTAAAATTATGTAAAATGTAGCTCAAGTTTAGATAACATTTGCAGCAACTTTTTCTTAGGGGGTGGGTAGGGACAAATGTATCATTTCATGTAGAAAGAGATTGAATTTTATTTATTTATTTATATTTTTTTTAGGGAATGTAGAACAACTTCATTAAATCTTGTAAAAACAAAAAGTCACCAACCAAGAATCTGAGCCATAAGTGATGAGCCATCCTAACACTAGAGTGTGATAAAAAAAATTATTCAGTGTCACTTTCGGTATTATTATAAATACTCCTCAATTATTCGATTAGAAGATTTATTTAAGAAATTCTGTCTCAAAATTATATCTCCTTGCCTTGCTCTTCTCCCAATTGCATGATGTGATAAATTTTAATCCATAAAATGTCATGGCTAAGAAAGGGATTGGTATAGGGGACAAGGGGTTTTTCGAAATAAATAATCTCATTCTTGATTTATCATTATATTTCGCATTTCATATTCTAAATAAAAAAATTATTTATACATAATTTGTCCCTAAAATAATATAATAATGACATGTTTATAATTAAATATCATTTAAATAAACACTTTATATTTAAATAAATACTATTTTAAAATGATAAATCCTTATACGACCACATTATAAATTTTGTATATTTTTATATTTTAGTATATAACTAGACATTTCCAAGTAGTATATAAAGGAATGAATAGTTAGAACTCCAACAATGGAACAAATCTACTTCAATACGTGCATTGATACCTTCAATGTACCCACAGTTTTCAAGGCCATTAGTTGGGTGCATTTAATTCTTCGTTTCTTTTTTCCTTTTTTTTTTTTTTTAAATTTTTCATTGAGAGATAATTCTTTCTTGATTGATAATAAAATCCTATGTGATGAGAAGATATGAAGCCACCGGAAGTCTAATACCATATGGTTCAAAGGAATGTTGGCAAATGTATTGATAATTAAATTGTTTCCGTTAGTATGTGATAAAATAGGAGCAACCGCATAAGGAATGCTAGTTTTCAAATCCCATTAGGTACATAAAATAAAGAAACAGAAACACGCAAGTTTTAATTTTTTTTCCTTGATAAAGAAGGATAGGATGGGACGAACAATCTTCTTGGACGTAACCAAAGGAATCTCTACTCACTAGAAGTCGAACATGAGTGGCTTAAATGGACC